TGCTACTACTACTACTACTAATAATAATAATAGTAATAATAATAGGGGAATCTTATTATATTAAAATGGAGCCGAGCTTGTTTGAGAGGTCAGTATACATTTTTGACACGGGTGCCCACAAAATCTACAAAAATATTATCCAGTTAAGAATTGTCACAAAGGTTACGTTGGCATATTTTTAAAGTTCAGAAACTGCCTTTTGAGTTTTCAAGTTTGATGGTTTATCCTGTAAATCTGAGAACTCTGTCAAAATCCATTTCATATTTTACTCGGTGCTACTTTCGTTTCAGTTTTTGCTACGTCGTGTCTCTGAGCAGCTTCTTCTAGCCTATTTCCATATCTAGAATCTCAATATCCAACTCTGTTTGGATGTGTGCTTCGCAGTGTCTATGGATACTTCAGGCCAAACTTCATTGTATATTGTATTGACGTTTTGTAGATACATTCGGTGTAGTAATGTCCCTAACACGTTGAATTCGTTTTAAACCCACAAAAATGTTCCTTCGTGGTATTGACTTTTTCAAACTTTGACACGTATTTGGTCGTAGTTTTTATAGAGCAAGACTCTAGATCTAGATCTCTCTGTAATATATTTTTGAAGCACAAACTTCAAGACTAATTTGGAGTTGTTAGCAAGAATAGAACTACGGTTTGTGCGTTGTCGTATGTGTGCCAAAGAGTTCTACTGTTTCAAAGATGTAGAATCTCGATATCTAACTCTGTTTGGGTGTGTTTTTCGCTCTGCTGATGGGTACTTCCGGCCAAACTGAATTGTACTGAATTTTCCTAGACATATATTTTGGAGTGTATTTTCTGCGTAGCTTTTATAGAGCAAGGCTCTAGATCTAGATCTACATATGTCCTAGATGTATTTGGAGCACAGAATTCTAGACTGATTTGGAGTGGTTAGCAAGAAGGTATCAATCTAGATCGAGATCTGTTCGGGGTAATGATGTCCATTGAATATTAGTTAATAATGTAGTAAGATGCTCCCTAAACGGAGAAAGGCGACTATCAATCAGAATTTACGTCCTAATTGTCAGAATCCGGAAGAAAACCTTGAGCGTGCTAGGCCAAGAAAGAATGGGCCACGATTGGCCTTAGCGTGCAACACACAGTCCTTTAGTGGAAGTGAAGCTGATAGCAGATTACGGACACACGACTGTTGTAAATTCAGTGACATTTATGAACATTGCAATGCCATACGATGGAGAGAAGAGAGAAACACATTCTGCTGTCAAAATGGTAATGTTAGTATACCTGTACCTCACGCACCCCTTCAGGAACTAATAAAGTATCACGATGTGACACAGAGCGGCAGCTCTTTCTTACCACACTGTAGGTCATACAATAATGCTCTCGCCCTTGCTTCAATAGGGTATAGTACACAAGCTGAACAAAGGCTTCAATCCAACCTTCAAAATCCAGGGCAACCTGTACAACCGATTAGGATATATTTTTCCCACTGCTTGAAAGTTAGACCTGCTTTTGCAATGGCTTCCAACAAAGTTCAGGGACAGACTTTGAAGAGGATAGAGGTTTGTTTACTGGGCAATTTTTTTTCACGTGTACAATTGTATGCCGCAATGAGTCGTGTTGGGTCCAGGGGCTCTTATTTGAAGACATGTAAAAGTACCTGCTACCCAGGACTCAGTTCCAGATGGCGCGTACATCAGCATGCTATGTTGTCTACACAGAGCTCCTACGGCAGTGAATCCGGTACACACATTTTATCTTCCAAGGGATTTCCTACCAGTATATTACCGGTCGTAGAACGGGTTTGTGTCTTGTATCCATACATATTATAATTGTGAAATTTCATCACTTTGGCAGCCTAAACTCAGGAACCGCTTAACTTTCGAATAAAAAAAGGGGGTTCAGAATCATTTACAGGGTGCACAGTTTTACTGAGGAATCTGAAGTCACTGTAGTTAAATTTTCAGTTTTTCATTAGTTTCGTTTAGATCTAATCTTGGGAAAATCCGTCTTCTAAGACACCATAGTAAACAAGTGAGGCTTCCGTTCACAAAGAGTGCGTGCACTGATCCTACAATGACTGGACGACTGATTCTTTTGAGTCTGTTCATCGCCCGGGAAACCCATCAAGTTAATAATAATAATAATAATACTACTACTACTACTACTACTACTACTACTACTACTACTACTACTAATAATAATAATAATAATAATAACAATAATAATAATAATAATAATAATAATAATAATAATAATAACAATAATGATAAAGAAAAGTTACAATAAACTAGCGGCACCCTCCAGCCGCCCGCCGTATCAGCCCTCCAAACAGCCGGACTCACCGTTTGAGGAGCAAAGGGATCAGAGCCAAGAGGATCAGAAGCAACAGGCACAGAAAGACCACCAGAATCATCAGGACGAAGGAATCTGGAGACAACGAGGAGAAGGAAAGAAGAAGCAAACCACACAAGAGCACCCTACAACCATCCACGTAAGAGTTTTACGGCACTTGCAACACAATTAAGTTATCATATACGTGCCGAAGATCAGAGGCGTTTCAGTAGGTGATTGGCAGCTGGTGCTCTGGTGTGGTTTGGTCGTTCCTTCTTTCTTCTCAAAAGACTATCGTTTTTTATCTTTCCTCCTTCTTTTTATGTTTGTTACTCTCTTGCAACTTCTCTAATCTTCGGCACTTATGTGACCTAATTGTGTTGCAGGTGTCGTAAAACACTAACTAAAACTTTTAAAAAGTAATGTTTTAAGAGAGTAATATAGCCATAAAAGGGAGGAGAGAAAGGTCGATAGATTATGTTTGATAGGAAAGAAGGAGCACACCACACTAGAGCACCCGACGCCCAACCACCATAGTGCAACAGCAGATCAGATAACATGTATAACAAATTATGATAAAGAACATTATAATATTTTATTACGCTTATTCGAACACAACAGTAAGCTCTATATGGCCGCTTTATAAGCACAAGCGGGCTATTTCGAAAAATGATGTTTTGAGAAACTCGAAGGTCAAATTTTTGCACGTTGTTCAGTTTCTTTAAAATACAAGGGGAGTTTTCTTTAAACCCCAAAAATATACACACAAATTTGGCGCTCCTATGATCTTATGCAGTTGCGGGCAACAATCAACGCTGGATATGGGTCGGGGATCAACTTGCCCAGTGGGATAAAAAAAAAAAGAAGTCTTTAATTCCAGCAGGTCCTTCTGCTCCAATTTCATTGCCGAACAACAGGCTATCACCAACACAGCAAACTACATCAACTACTTGTTTGACACTAACCCACTTGCTACCACAGACATCGTTATCTTTATAGACAGCCTTTCAACACTAGAGACACTTGAGAGTGGGACTGGTGTGAACAAAGATATATTGCACTTGGTTTGGAGTCTACATAATTTGATAAGTAAGCACCACGTCAGAGTAGTCCCACAATGGATTCCTGCCCACACTGGGATACCGGGAAATGAAAGAGCTGATGCTCTCGCAAAGAAAGGAGCTAGCCTCCCTCAGCCTGAAATGCCTACGAATTACACCACCTGCTGTCAAATGATCAAGTCAAACCTCAAGGAAGAGTGGATGAATGATTGGGCCACAGGTACGACAGGAAGGAGAATGTATGGCCACATGAATAAACCACTGGTCAAAGATCCAATCAATGAGTCAATCCATAATCTTCCAACTTAGAACACAACATGTACCCCTCAACCAACATCTCAACCGAATTGGAGTAAAGCAGTCTGCTGCCTGCCCACTATGTGACTACCCCTCAGAGACAGTGGAACATCATCTGTTCTTCTGTAGAAAACTAACTGATTTAAGGGGATGTTTTCTTCCCAAGCTACCCCACACATCTAATTGCCTCTAATCCTCAAGACAACAATTAGAACAAACATGCAAATATTACCAAATGGCATCATGCAGAAGAGTTAACGCTCAGATGCTACTAATTCGCTAACAACAACAACAACATATAGAAAACTATAAATCTCCGTCACTCGAAAAAAGGGATTATTTACAGCATTTCCCGCTTCTCACATGGGAATCGAACTCATACCTTCAGCGGGCGGCGACAATGCGCCTAACCACTGCACTTCAGACACCGCGTTACGAGGAATGATGTGCTGATCTAACAAGATATTTGACGATAAGACGTGTCTACTAAAGCGAACATGGCTATAGCAACGATATTCCCTTCTTTGAACAAAATGAAATGGTGTCAATACCATACCGGGGGCTTTCTTGGTGTCCAGGTTATGGTGTTTGCCTCTCATTCAATAATTCCCAGGTTCAAAACTTGAGAGGGACGGAAATGTTTCTTTTCTTATTTTCCCCCCTATCACATCCTTTCCTCATCTCAAACCATGTTCTGCCGTCCGCTTTTGTCTCCACCTTCTGCCCCCACCTCTCTCCCCCTTGACCCCTTCTTTGTGCTGGGCTCCCAAACTTCCCTCCCAAACTCTTCACACGCACACGCATACGCACTCAACAACAATAATAACAATAATGGGAGGTGCTCACTAGCGAGAGCGGATTGGGTAGGGTCGGTTTGGGTCGTGTTGGGGCGTCGGGTCGGGTCGTTTTCTGGTGGTTTCCGCGCACTCTACAACAACCCCGCCGCGATTGTACCCGACGACCAGGAAGTTAAGTAGAGAAACTTTTAATCTCAATGGCTTCCAGGGCTCCTTTTCCATAGTTCCCTGTTGCAGTGCTGCGGGAGCCTGGAATCCCATAAACATGGTTACAGTAGTTACATCGATAACTTTCTATTATCAAAGATCCTTCATACGATAGCTCTAGTTCACTCGGCCAAAAATCTGTCGGCGGAAGTCTGCGCATTGGTTCAGATGGCGCTGCAGCCTTTGTTTTGAAGCTCTCTTACGGCTCTCAAGAAGAAGAATAGGAATAGCAGTTAGTTTCGCTTTTATTGTTTTTCCCACAAGTAGGGTAGCTCTGTTTGTAAAGTCTGCACTCTTTCGAAGAGGGCGCCACCGGGTTTCGAGTGTCAACATGGACACGTGACTCAGACTTGTTGTGATTGGCTGTAAACCACCCGATCGCGCGATTCGCAGGCCTGAAAAGTTTTTGTTGGTCACCGATGGAATTGATCGGTTTGGGCCACGATGGTCGCTTGGCACCCTCAATTTTACTAACCCTGGGTGCCCACTACGGCTGGATCGGGCCGATCGCTCGACTCGGGCGCTTGAAACTGAAAACAAACACGTTTGTTTTTGAGGTGACCAAGTGGGCACCCCGTATAACCTCAACTACCAGATCGAGCCGACCCGACCTGACCCGACCCGATCTGATTCAACCCGACTCGATCGTGTACGTGGGCACCCCCTATAACGTAGCGAGAGGAGTTGCGCGGCGGCTTCCTCTAGTCGTAGCCGTCCAGCTATTCTGACGACAAAGGCGTGGTAGAGATTTAGGTTTGGGCAGGCTGGGATTCAAATGAGGTGTTTGATGTTGTTACGTTTCATTATACTACCTTACAATAAGACTAGGTCGTTATTTCCTTTATTAGTTTTAGCATGGTTTTTAATAATAATAGCAATTTAAAAAAACTATATTAATGATTAAAAATGATAATAGTAATGATGACAATCATCATCATCATCATCATCAGAAGAAGAAGAAGAAGAAGAAGAAGAAGAAGAAGAAGAAGAAGAAGAAGAAGAAGAAGAAGAAGAAGAAGAAGAAGAAGAAGAAGAAGAAGAAGAAGAAGGAGAAGGAGAAGAAGAAGAAGAAGGAGAAGGAGAAGAAGAAGAAGAAGAAGAAGAAGAAGAAGAAGAAGAAGAAGAAGAAGAAG